ACTAAGCTGGCTTGAGGTCCCCGAGTGTCCCTTTTCAGTTGGACATCTACTTCTTGATCACCCACTATGTGCTGACACCATAGGCTCCATGGGAAGAGAGCAGGGCTTCAGCTAAGTCGGGTCCAGGAGACTCGAGGTCCAGTCGGAGCACAGCTGTGGCATCGCAGAGGGGCGTCCTGCCGCTCACTCTAGGACACCAGGGGCATGGAGCCCTTGTGCCTCCTTCCTTGAAGGAAGTAGGGGATTTCACCAGGGCTGAGGGCAGCCTCATTCAGGAGAGCAAGGGACCTTCCCCGCCCTCCAATGGGACTGCGAGAGCGGACAAGCTGCCTGGCTTCCTGGTGACAGAGCGAGTACTGCCTAAGTGCAAAGGTCCTTTCCTTTTTCTTATTTTAAGTGAATATTCCGCCATCACCTACCTGAGAGGGTTCTCCTGAGAGGTGCTTGCGCGGAGGAAATCTGGAACGGTCCCTGCGCCTTCTCTTCTCCAGCCCTGGCAAACAACCTCCTCCACCTGCACTCACCTTCCTCCCAGACTCTCCTTCCCCAGCTTGCCTGCCCCTTCCTAGCCCTGGGATCAGGTTGGCAGCTCACCATGAGCCTCTCCAGGGCTCGGAAACCTGGGCCTGCACTGCTCAGGGGAAGAAGGCTGGGAGGGGGAGGCGGGCCTTCATTCTGGCAGTTAGATGAGGAAGGGGAGAAACGTACCAGACCCTGGCCTGCACTGCTGGTGCTTAGCCCGGCCTGCTTTGGACACTCTCAGGGCTGCCATGGACCTGGTTCACGTGTTGTCACAGCGCCTGCTTGCTGTCCTTCCGCTGCCTGTGGACCTGCCCCCTGCACCCCATCTGTAGGTCCTGGAGGAGAGAGAGCCCCCTCACCTCGTGGCCCTGGCTGCCACCTCAGCACACAGCACGTCATGATTAGAGACGAACACCAACTTAGTCCTTCGTGTGAAGAACGGCTGCCATGTGCAGTTAGTTACCACCGTGCCTACCACCTGAGGAGTCCTCAAAAGCTCACAACCCAGCCGATGGCGTAATGGCTACGTTGCTGACCCCCATGTAGCAAACCATGGTTTGAGTCCTGGACCCGGTGGGTTAAACTCACGCCGGGCGTGTGTGCGTGCGTGCCCAAGATCCTGAGAGGAGAATGGAGGAGAAGGGATTGCGGTGTGGCCATCCCCCCGGGGGGTGATTTCTCGCTTTCTGTCTCTCTCTGCCTTTCCGGTGAGCACATACGCCCTATAGCAAAAACCTCTCAAAAAGAAAAGAAAAGAAAAAGCTTACAATTGGCAGGAACGGCACACGAAGCCTTGAGTCCTTGCCATTCTGCACATCTGCGTCCGCCATGGACTCCCACCGGGGTCGTGAACGAAGGGCTGACACCCAGCATACACAGGGGGTCGCGCCCCAAGCTATCTCAGGGTCCTAATGGAAATGTCTGCTCGAAGAGCCACTTTATCACAAACCATTTTCCAGACAGCTGCTTACCCCTACACAGAAAGACCATCTCTTACTCCCAGAGACATTCTCCCAAGGCTCCCTGGGAGTTACTGGAAAAGGAAGAGAAGTGAAACCAAAACCAACCATAAAAACTAAGGAATCCATGCGGGGGATGCCCATGTGTGCCATTCCTTAAGATGGTTAAGAGGGCAAGAAGCATGAAGCACGTCCCAGAGGACACGGCGCCATTGTGGACCCTTACAGGGTGTCCAGCTAACCAAGAATGCTTCTATTTAGTTCTGTCAAGCAGGCCTGAAAGCTGCACTCGGATACAAAGACCCCTCAGATACATTCTTTCCTTCCCCTTGGTGAGCAATGTGGGCTCCTGCTGTCCGACTAGACAGAGGAGGATACAGACCTGAAATTCCACCGTCCTGCCACACCTGCTGGATCCAGCCAGCTAAACCTCTTCTAGACACACTCTGAGGTTATCTCAGTTAATCCTCTCACCTCCACCCTGCAGGAAAGTTATATCCTCTGTATTTTAAAGCAGACAGGAAGGCTTAGAAAAGGTAAGCTGAGGACTTGTCTCCCCTGTCATCTGTCACCTAAGTTCTGCCTGGGGGAAAAGCAACTTCTTCCCCCACAAATGGTCCCAATAATTGAGCCCATGTTTTAGATCAAACCAAGATGCTTGGCCATAGGGTACTGAGCATCACTGAGCGGCAAGGACCTGGATTTTAAATAAAAACGGAAGCCCATCGGAACTGTCACTAGGCAGGTCACCAGGCACTTGCATGCTCGCGCGCTCGCTCTCTCTCACAGCCCTGTGTCCCCAAACACCTTAATCTCCATCCAAAGCCAGTCCTGGCCAAGGATCCTTCAGGAGTTAGCCTTTGTGGACCCAGGAACAGACACATTCGGCGTCCCTAGACAGCTTCTTGGGGCTGGTAAGAAACAGCCACCACTTCCCCTGTGCTAAGTTCCTCCCCAAAGAGCTGCAGAAGCTCATCTGGAAACAGCTGGGAGGGAGCAGTTAACAGGAAACCAAACAACAAAAAAAAAAGCACAGCACAGAGCGTAGCAAGGAGAGTCAGGCACTGAGCAACACGGAGGCCAGGGAACAGAGGAAGTTGAAGTTAGAAAGAACCCAGCCAGTAGGAGGAGACCCAGCAGCCTTCTCTGGGTCCAGTCCCAGTAGGAGAAGAAAATCTGGAAACCCACTGAAGCCTCAAACCCCGCCGAGATGGAAGTCAGATAAGTTCTGGACGAGACCTAGGTGTCACCTCCGCCCCAGCGCGACCTGACTTCTATGAGGGCCAGCAGTGCTCGTAACAGCAGAGATGAGGCCAGATGCTCACTTTTTTCTAGCTTCCTCCTGTGCCGGAGGCTACAACCCAAAGTGATTTTGAGGCACTCCTTTCAAACTCTACAAAAGTTCTGCAATATCAGCTGAAGGCAGCCACTGAAGACATCAGGAGAAATTGCTAGGCAGCTCTCACCGGGAGGAGGGGGCTGGAGGAGGGCCTGTGGCAATAGACCCTAAGTGGCTGCAGACCTTAGAGGCTCCGAGTAACACTAAAAGCAAGCGACCTAGCGGGGTTACAGGCCCTGAAGAGCAGGGCTAAGCTTCTTGCACCAAACTAATAGTGCATTTTGCAATCAAGAAAGTTGGCTGAGCAACGGCCAGCTGCCAACATTTTTTTGAAAGGAACAACAACAACAAAAATGCCATTACTAAAATTTGGTTGGCATTATTTAATAAGTTTGGGTTACTGGGTTATTCTAATGGAAGGCAAAGGGGAGACTGGTTTATTTTTCCTTTAGCAGAGCTTTCTTAGGTGAGACCTTCAAGCCTATGCCTCCTGAGACTCAAACATTCCCTCCCTGCACATACTGGTTTCTATAAAAATAAAGATTAAATTCTCCTAATAATACACATCCCATCTAGTTTTGTTTGAAAAGGCTCTCTTAAAGGGAGAATATGCTGCAATCTATTTGGGTTAAATTCCAATGGAAATGCTCAAAATCTGAGACTGAAGGGTGCCCAGGGCTACATCCTCAATATCTTTGTGCTTTTTGTTTCTGTTTTCATACCTCTGAGGTTTTTTTTAAACACGGAACACCTTCACAGGCTCGGTGCCAGTGTTCAAACTGGCAAGACCAGAGACTCAGAGCAGAAACTGACCACCGTGCCACGTAGAAAGCGGGGAGGAAGAGGTGTGGGAACAAATCATTGGGGAACCTTCAGGAGAGGAAATGGGGGTGGCGGGTGGATTGCAGGGACATAACAAAGGAATGAGTCGACTAATCAGTTATTCCAGAGAGAGAAAAGGCCGCCCAGAGCCAAGTCTCTAGTATTTTAACTTTGGGTCAAGGTGTTATGTTTTAATTTGGATATATTCAGGACTCATGCCCCCCCCAAAAAAAGAGGGGGGAATGTTTTTATTCTCTGTTACACTGTTTCTGCTGTCTCCTAGGAAACTTTCCCTGCATTGCCTGCAAAGCAGATCTGAGACAGCCCCGGCCAGTCCAGTTACTAATGAGTGAGCCCAACTCATGCTATCAGGTTGAGCCCCCAAGCCTCTGCAGCTAGTCCAAGTTAGTTCTCTCACTGAATCAGAAAAGTTACCCAAGGCCAATACTGAATGCACACACTGGGGATAGGAGAAGGTGTGGAAAAGCCCTTAAAACCCTCCAGGGCCAGGCATTCTGTGACTTAGAGAAAAAGAACTCTCCGTCCAAAGCCTGATCCGCACATTAGGATGGTCCCTGGGAAGCCTGCCCTGAACACGGACACCTCCCTCATATAAAGTTTCGGGGCCAACCAGAAAACCCTCCAATTTGCCAGGAGGTCAGACTGTACCTTCAATAGCGGTGGCTCCAGAAGTCTTCCCAGGAGGCACCCAGGGCCCTCTCAAGACGGGGGAGGGCCTCCCAATAAACCAGGTGTGAGGGGCTCAGTCCCAGCAGGGACAGTAAGAACAGTAGCCAACATTTAGGAGCACCTAAGGCCGTGCCAGACCCTGGAAGGACATTTACCCATCTTGGTTCATCCATCCCCCCAACAGCCCTGTGGAGGCAGATAATACTGTCATGCCCTTTTACACAGGAGGAAACGGGGCTCTGGGGTGTTATACAACCATTCAACAGTGGAGCCAGCGCTCCAGCCAGCCTGGACAGGTGGTCTGAACTGCTGGGTACTGCTGGAAGCATACACCGCATTTGGGCGCGAGGGGTCACAGAGCAGGGCAACATGAGGGTAGCCTGTATCTACACCTCCTCCTTGTCCAAGATCGGGGCTCCAGGACGCTGGAGGGGAAGGCCTGGATGGGCCATCTGAAGCCGGAAGAAGCCATGCACTGTTGACAGGGCTTAGAGGCCAGGACCCCAGACCTATAAGCCCTCCCCAAAGGGGAGGATGCCAAGGAAATGTTTGAAGCCGGAGACTGCCCAGGAGGCCCAGCGCTCCACACTGCCTCTGCCTTAGTCAAGGGAGGCCCCCTTGGAGGGGTGGGGCCCGGCCGGGGCCTACGGGGGTCGCCGGGTCCCTACCTGTAGGCCAGGGTCATGCACTCGAAGAGCTTGGTGAGCGAGGCGTCGATGGACAGGTGGCAGGAGCTGGTCTTGCCGAAGCTGTAGGTCTGGCACGTCTGCTTGTTGACCGTGTCGAAATCGTAGCCCTTCTTGGGCGGGTGCTCGCGGTGCGGCGACGACACCATGAAGTGGCCGCTGTGGATGATCTGCTGGCGGCGCGAAGGCTCCTCGCGGCCCGGCCCGGCCCGGGACAGCGGC